TTTTTTAAATAATTTATAATAATTATAATATGTTCAAAAAATTTAAATAAATATTAATTTATATATATTCTATAAATATAGCTACTCAAAATCTAGAATTCTATAAAGAAAAACATATGTTTTATGTTATAATAATAAAAATACTTATATTTTAAACAATATAATTTAAAATAAAAAATTAAGAAGATAATTAAAACTAGAAGGATAATTAAAATTGGAATATAAATAGTAAAGAAAAAGAAAGAATGTGATGTACTTCGTTTAAAAAAATGTGACTTAGGAGAAATTAATTGACGAATTCAACTTATTACGTTATGGTCTAGGCAGAGGCTTAGTATATCTCCTTATTTTGAAAAAAAACAATTAAATTTAAATTAACGTGTTAATAAAAAAACAAAATTTTTGTATACCTATTATTTAAAAAAATTAAATTTTAGACTACCTTCTTAAATTTCTGGATCTACCACTATGTCTATGCGAATAAGATATATAAATTTTAAAATAATTTCTAAATAACTATCAATTTCTTATTTATGTATATAAAAGTGAAGATTAACCTTAAAAAATAGATAAATAAATACTATTATTTGAGATATGAACCAAATCTATCATATTTTTCCTTTTCCAAATTATGAAGTGTCGAACTTACCTCCTTTTGTGTGAATCCCATTGGCATGGCGATGCAACCTTCCTATCTTGGGAGTTTGCGGTGTGAGACGAACTAATATATAGTTAAAAAATGATATAATTGATTAAATAGATGATCGGTTAAAAGTACTATTGAAAATGTTATATATTTTTGTCGAAAATATTATGTGTTGATAATAATAATGGTAATAACCGGGAATATTAACGTCTTATGTAAAATATCCCAAAAAATATTGACTTTAACATAACTAGTTAATTATTGAAAACATTATCAACCATAATAACATAACATGTAACCCTTATGTAACATAATAGCTAGTGCCTTTTAAAGCTTATGGGACCTTAGAAATCTGATGATAACAAAATATGTTAATTACTTTATTTGTTATTAATATTATCATGATATTAGGTAGTGCATAAAATGTTATCAAAGTTTAAGTTGACGGAGCCTTAGAAATATGACGATAACAAAATAAGTTAATTATTGAAAACATTATCATCCATAATAACATAACAAGTAGCGTTGATTTAATGTAATAGGTAGCGTATTTTTAAAGCTGATAGGGTCTTAGAAATATGAGGATAATAAAATCGATTAATTACTTAATTTGTTATCAATATTATCAACATATTAGGTAGCGCCTAAAATATTATCAAAGTTTAAGCTGACGTGACCTTAGAAATCCGACGATAACAAAATATGTTAATTACTTATTTTGTTATTAATATTATCAATGTATTAGGTAACGCCTAAAATGTTACCAAAGTTTAAGTTGATGGAGTCTTCGAAATCCCACGACAACAAAATAAGTTAATTTCTTATTTTCTTATAAATAAATATTAACATACTAGGTTTCACCCAATAATATTATTTTGAATAACGAAGTAGTTTGCAATTTAAAATATTAAAGTTGTGTTTAATTAAATCGATATGATTTAATATATTACGTATCTTTGTATGACAATTATTTTTAAAATAAATATCGATACTACTATGATCTGATGGTCGATACTTTAACAAATATAAATACTTTTAGAGTAAATATGTATACATTATTATTATGGATACATTATTATTAACCTTTAGAGTATCCATACTTTCAAATTTTTTAAAAAATATTTTAAACGGTTAAATTGTATATATTTTACAGTTTACATTACTGTCGAAACAATATCCATACTTTTAGGTAAGTATGAATACATTATTATTAACCTTTAGAGTATCCATACTTTTAGAGTAAATATCCATACTTTCGAATTTAAAAAAAAATATTTCAAACAGTTAAGTTGTATATATTTTACCGTTTACATTATTATTAACCTTTAAACAAACTGATAGTTTAACGTAATAGGTAGTGCTTATTTAACGTAATAGGTAGCACCTATTTTATTTTACCATTTACATTATTATTAATATTTAAACAAACCATAACTAGTTTAACGTAATAAGTAGCGCCTATTTTATTTTATTGTTTACATTATTAGTAACCTTTAAACAAATCGGTAGATAATTTAACGTAATAGGTAGTATGTTGAAAATATTTTGATGTTTTGATATAACAAATTAAATTTAAATAAATTTTAAGATTTTACAAAAGATTTTTTAAGTATATTCGATTTAATTAATTAAATATCAAATTATTACTCCAAGTCTTTCAAGTTCAAATTCAAACCTTACTAAATGTGTAAAATTGTGTTTTATACTTAATATATTTTTTTGAAAAAATTTTCACAAAGTATTTTGAACCAAAATCAAGCCTAAAATCAATTTTTCTGAGTGATGCACCGATGCACCAATCCATGCATAGATGCACCATGAATTAAATTGAACATCGAATGCATTTCATGCATCGATGCACATACCATGCATCGATGCACTGAGGATTTTATGAAAACATCGAATGCATTTGATGCATCGATGCACCAGCCATGCATCAATGCACTCTGACTATTTTGAAATATCGAATGCACTTGATGCATCGATGCACTAAGGGTCCAACGGTCAAAATATTTGAATTTTACACTGATGCACCGATGCACCATGGGTATGCATCGATGCACTAACGCTCTCAACTGCTTTAATTAATTGTTTTCATACTTAAACGGCTCTATTGACTCCACTAATCATCCCCAACGTTCAGAATCATTTGAAGGTGTATTTAAACAAGCTTAGAAGCCATTAATAAAAAATAAGAAACAACAATCAACAAGAATCAAGAGATAATCAAAGAGAAAGCATCAAACCTCAAGTTTGAGCATTTCAAGCCTATTTTTCATTCAATATTTATTTTGCTTTCAAGAACAACACTTGTACTCAATCGTATTCATTCTTAATTGTTCTTTTCTTTGTTCTAGAATTGTGCAAACAATCTACCTTGTGAGGATTTCCTTGTAAGTTTGCAAATTTGTAATATTCTCTTTGGGAGAGATTGTTCTCAAGAATTTGGGGTATAATTCTTGAGGGATTTGTAAGGTTACTCTTTGTCCTCAAAAGAAAGACAAATTAGTGAATTTGTGGAAAATCCTTAGTGTGGGTAGCTAAGGTAGTGGACGTAGACTTTGGTTGAAAAAGTTGAACCACTCTAAATCGCTGCCCAATTAATTTCAATTTTCTGCATAGCTTCCACCGAAATTTTTATTTACGAATTCACCCCCTCTTGGCCATATTCGTCGATCGATTAACTCAACATAGTACCTATTTTATTTTGTCATTTACATTATTATTAACATTTAAACAAATCGGTAGGTATTTTAACGTAATAGATAACGTCCATTTTATTTTATCGTTTACATTATTAGTAACCTTCAAACAAACCGGTAGATAGTTTAATATAATAGGTAGCGCTTATTTTATTTTAACCGGTTAAGTTTTAAATATAAGTATTGATACATTCAATATAAGTATGAACACTTTTTCAGGATAATAGTTAGGCATAACTTAATGTCGAAACAATATTCATACTTTTAGAATAGGTATGTATACAAAAGCTATGCAATTTATGTTTCAAATTTTTTTAATAGTTTTTCATGTTGTCCACCTACAACGTTAATTTAATAATTTCATTTACACAAAAAAATTATTTGATTATTTAGATTTTTTATAAAATATTAATTTTAACTAATAATAATAATAAATATGTAATATCTATATTTATTATTTTTAATTTAATAATAATATAAGCCATAACATAAAAATAAATCATTAAATACTTATAATTACTAAATTAATATCTTAAACCTTACTACAAAAATAATCTTAAATTAATATTTTTCACAGTAAAATAAGTATGAATACTTATATATATATATAAATATATCGATACCTACCGATAACAAAACTTAGCCGTTATCAAATTTTTTAATAGTTGTTTATATTTTCCATTTACAACGTTATAAACCTTTCAATATTTTCAATAACATTTCACTAGATTTATTAATTATCTTATTAAATTTTCGATCACATAATTCCTTAACTATATATATTAATTCGTCTTTTCTTAAACAAACCATCTTTCCTTCCTACAACTTCTGCGTGACAGCTTGATGGATACACGTGTAGCTTCTCATACGTTCTTCTCTCTTCTCTGGCCCCACTCTTTTTACATCATCAACACGTTTGCCAATAATACACCCCCACGTATCCCGCTGAATCTACTCCACCTCCAAATATACGCTCTCTCCCCCAACTCATAATTGTGTATAAATTAGAGTGAATGTTTGATCAAATTAAGCTGAGTTAAATTAAGTGATTCTTTATTTAATTAAATTGATTAATTATATTTTATAATTTAATTTATTAAATAGTTAAACAAAGTCAAATTTAAGTAAACTAAATTTATTTAAGTCAAATTTATAAAAGTTAAATCAAAATATTATTTACAATTTCAGCAGTATTGTTGCACAAAGTAAAGCAAATTTAGTGTTTCTTCAGGAGTCGAAGTTGTCCAGAGAGAATCCTATAGTGATAAATTGGTTAAAAGGCAGGGAGTTCGATGAACATGTTTCTGTTCCATCGGAAGGCTCTTCGGGGGGGTTTAATCTTGTCGTGGAATTCAAATGTGTTTTCAATGTGTAGGAGTGTTTCTCAAAGGAGGTTTATTGCCGTGGAAGGAATATTTGTTCAATCTAATTTTGAAGGTAGTATTAATCAACGTTTATGAGCCCAACGATCCAGCGGAAAGAAGAGATTTTTTTTGGTGTTTTGGGTGATTTTATAGTGGGGTCGGGTTTGCCGGTCATCATTGGTGGGGATTTTATAGTGGGGTCGGGTTTGCCGGTCATCATTGGTGGGGATTTTAATACAGTTACTTCAATCAAATTTACTTTCTAAGCATCATGATTCAATGGCAGAGCATTCGAAAAATGTTGTATGATATTTGTGCAGTGTATCAGGCAACAGGCCCTGCAGCAAAACTTCTTTACCAAAAGGAGCATTTAAAGGAGTCAAAGAAACCAAGACAACTCATGAATTATGCTAGTGGGAAGTGGAATCCACTTCTATATCCTTCTTCTCCCAGTTTTGGAGCGTCTAGTGATCGTCAAAGGTTAAAACTTGGCAGTCGACAGCGTTGTCGGACTGAAGTTTTGAGTTTTGACGGTAGCATTCTTAGGTCTGTCAAATCAGCCTACATTTTTTTTTCTTCCTCTTAATGTTTTATTCTCATTTTAGTGTTTGGTTGTGTATTATTTATTCACTTCGTTGAATGATATTTGCAGAGCATATGCCGTAACTCCTGTCAATGAAGTTGCCACAAGACCTGTTGATGATTCCACCACAACCACCACAACAAAAGTTGACCCTGATGAATCTGACAGCAATGAAGTAATCCTTCCCGGTGTGAACCTTATTTTTGATGGTGCTCAGTTGCATCCCTTTGATATAGCTGGTTGCCTGCAGGCTCGCCAGCCAATTTCTTTAATAGCAGAGGCAGCTGCAGCTTCCTCATCTTTTACAATTAAATAGGTCTTATGAATATGAGAAATGTGGATTGAATATTTTGTCTGTAAACTGACAAGTGGAAGTTATTGTGTCCATACTAACATTATTCTGGTTATCTGTTTCATCTTTGATGTCATTCATTTTATGGATCTGAGCGAGCAGTTGCATCAAAGGCAAGTATCATCATTTTTTTCCTATAATGTGACAAATATTTGTTCTATTGATTTCATAAGCTTCTAGGTATCTGTCCAATTATTTTGTACCATTTGTTACCATTAGTAGCTACTTAGATAGTTGCATGAGGACTGCCATTGGTTTGGTGCAGAATGCCAAGAAACTAATCGAGGGGTTGTTGTTCCTTGTAGTAATTATGGGGCTTAATTATAACATTTCATATAATTTGGGTTTATTTGGTTTTTAAAATTGATATCAGGGTCTAGGATCTTAGTTTTTATGCCTTGAACTGTTTTTACTCTTATAGGATGAACGTTGAGGTTTGCTTGGAGTCATATAAATCGGCCTCTCTCTCTATTATGCCATAGGTCCATGAGAAGCAACATTATATTCCTTGTTATTAACATTGGGATAAAACAGTATCGCAGAAGCTTGGATCAATTTAATAACTTAATTTTTGATACAATAAAATACTCTTTGAATCAATCAACTCTCAACATTTCTTACACGTAGAAATTGTTAATAAAAATTAGACTGAATAATTCGTGTATTCATATCATGTTCATGTACTTTCTTATGTCAAAATTGTTTTTAATTTATTTTTATATTTATATAGCTTTCAAAAAAATTAAAAATTAGCCTTATAAAGATTATGGCATATCAGATACTCATATAACGTTCGTGTTTCTCTTTGGTGCCATGTTTATACTTTTTCGGGTCATATTATTGTATGCAGCATTACCAGCTCCACTAAAAAGAGACATGAAACAGTCTTCTGAATTCAACTACAATGCTGAAGTGCCTTCGACGATTATCACTACCTGGTCATCTTTCAGATACTAATAACGCAACTAAGTTACATAAAGTTCACGATCAGCTTAATCATGCAAAGTTTCCCTAAACTAAATCAGATCATAAGTATTTCCAAGAAACTAAAATATCAACAGGATAGTTTATCACTAAATACTAGGGACTTATGAAAAACTAATTTCAGCATGAATAAGTAGACATACATGAAGACGAATCAAAGATTGAGTTGATTGAAACTAGGATAAACCTGAAGGGTTCTAGTAGCGAACTCGACGCCAATGGTTGATTTAGATTCCAAACAGAACTCATTTCTGGTGAACCTAGAGAGAATATTCGACTTTCCATCGCCAGAGTCGCCGATCAGCACGATCTTGAACAGGTAATCGTACTCGTGATCTACTCTATGCGCCATTCCCCTTCTCTCTCAAACCTGCAAGATCCAAACGAATCAATCAATCTAAATGGAAAAAGTAAAAAAGAAAATAGAGATACGGAAGCAATTGAACTTACTCGGAGTGGATAGACTGAGAAGAGAAAAGAAAAAGGAATGAAGATAATTTTGGAGAAATTTTTTTGAAAGTTAAAAGAAGGTTTAATACCAAAATAAGTGCTCAAACTATACCGTAAAACCCAAATAGGTGCCTAAACTAATTTTCGTCACATTCATGTGTCTAACGTTACAAACGTTAGTATCTAGGCCGATAACGATGTTAATTTCTCTGTTAAATGATATGTGTCAAATTTTGGTAATTTTAAAAATTTTATTTAAAATTAAAAAATTAAAATTATATATTTTTTAAAAAATAGAAAAATCAAATTTTGAATAAAATCAAAACTTTGAAAACCTTTATTCTAACCCCTAAACACACGCCGACAGGAGTATTTTGAATTCGGCGAAGCTCCACCAACGGCCAAAACCCCCATGAAATCATGATCGATCGACGACCTATCGATGACGAATCAACGTTTTAAACCACTCGAACCCTAAGGAGGCGGCGACATATTAAGGTTAGGATTTGAGATTTTGGGATTGTTTTATAATATAAGAAAAATTAGTGTCTTTTTATAAATATAATAATGTTTTTAATATTTTATTTTAAAAAATAAATTTCAAAATATCAGATTATGACACATGTTACTTAACGGTAGAAATTAACATTGCTGATAACCCAGACACCTAAACAGATAACGGTTGTAACGTTAAGCACCTGGATGAGACGAAAATTAATTTAGACATCTACTTGAGTTTTAGGGTATAGTTTGAACACTTATTTTGATATTAATCCTTAAAAGAAATGAAAATTAAGAAAAAGGAAGAGAAAGGAAGGGAGAGAGGAGGTAAAAAGGAGCCTTTGATTTTTTACACGGGCAAAAGATGTAGATTTACGGTTTTTGGCTTTGAAGGAGAACGGTGCCCTTTTACGGGGCATTTTTGTGAGGGAAAATAATGCACAAATATGAATAGAATCAGACTGGCACGGCAGCTGTTATGCTGCGACAGTGGGTTTGTGCACCTGTATTCTGTTAAAATCCCTAGTAAATATTATCTTAAATTATTAAAAATTAATAAATTAATTTAAAAATATATTTTTTAAATACTAAGTTTTAAAAAATGATAAAAATACATTTTAAATTTTAATGCAGAGGATTACGTTATACTAAATCAAAGTATAAAGTTGAAGTTTCAAATGTCAGCATAGTAGAGAGACTAATACCAAATTAGACCTAAGATCTACTGAAATAAGATTAAAAAAAAAAACCGCGTGAAAACTAAATATTGGAGGCCAATGTTTCTGTTCGAGGGTGAGTCATCATCGGCCCGATAGCCCCAAAAACTAGAGCCCAACATCTGGAGTAAACCGGAAAGTCGCCGACGATTGGCGATCTCCCTCGCGATCTCACTAGATTGCGGATAATCGGAGAGAGAAAGAAGATGAAGAAAGAGGAAACAGTTAAACTGATCAGCGCTGAAGGGATGGAATTTGTTATTGACAAGGAAGCTGCCATGCTTTCTCAAACCATCCGTAACATGCTTACTTCTCCAGGTCCAATTTCTTTTTCATCTCTTCATGCTTAGTCTTTTAGGAGAGTTGGATTTTCCAGTTCTTAGTTGTTTTCGGTTGGAAAGGTCTAATATTTTGTTTTATGGGTGATGATGAAGGTGGTTTCGCGGAGACGGAGCATGGGGAAGTGACTTTTCCGGAGATAAGTGCTTTGATTCTTGAGAAGATCTGTCAGTATTTTTATTGGAATCTTCAATATTCCAGGTTCGTATTTCGTATACTTCATTTTTTCTTCACTTTTGTAAGCTCTTCCTTTGTATCAGTGTTTAATTCGTGTCAATACTCAATACTGTGGATATGTTCAAGTCCTAACTCCAACTGTAGCTTTGAATATGTCGATGAACTGTATGGGAATGGATTTGGTTTTTTTTTTTTTTTTAACTTCTGTCGGGATCATATTGAAGGTGGATTATCAAATTATACAAGAAGAAAGCCTTTTTTTTTTCTAGTAAGCTAGAAGAAAATATTAGTATTTCTAGGAAGCCTTTGACCATTCAATTCATATATTTCTCCTGTTAAGATGGATATACTTAGAGTGAAGTCAACGTGCAAGCTTTTGTAGCTCTTTTTCATGTTTTCTTGTGATATAAACGAGGCAAGTTACTTATTTTATGAAATATTCTAGTGCGATGTTGGAAACATAAATTTGAAAAATCGGATTTAGATTTCATTTTCTATATGAATTGTGGGAATCTAATGCATACATCATGTTACATGTATAACTTAGTTAAGATTCAATATTATCATATATATTTTGTATATGAATTTGAAGATCATGATCGCTACATTTTCGTTTTACCCTGATAAAAGAGTTGATATTTGATCAGGGGTAAAGAGACCGAGTTCCACATTGAACCTGAACTTACTCTGGAGCTGATGATGGCTGCTAATTATCTCCATACTTAGTTGATTACTTTCTTTCCTTCTTAGGTAAAATGTTATGTTAAAAATTATGACGTCTCTTCTGGTTGTTTTACGTATTTATATAATTTTTTTTTAACAATGAATCGATAATTTATTTTTTCTTATGGGTGTCACCGACAAATTACCTTGCTGAGTGCTGCAGTCACTCCGGGGTAGTATTCATGCCCAAGAGTAGAATCTGCATCGTGAATTTGAGCTCCCTGCTGCATTGCATAATGGTGTATTTCTATTTATCTTATGTTATTGTTTTGACTTAAATAAGACTTAAATATGCAAATGGATGCAGTTGTTACTAGTATAATTGCTGATATGCACTGAAATAACGGGAGCACAATCTGATATCTCGACTTTATATTGATTAAGTGTATGCTGATTGGAGAGGCCCTTAGATTGGAGAATAATGCAAGGTTTTAGGACACTCCTAGCTTAAAGATTTTCTAGGGAATTTTATCCACACGCCAAACAGATCACAAACTATATTGCAGGGTATGTTGCATTGGTCTTGTGACACTAGCCTGACCATAGCAATGCCAGACGTGATCACTGATCAAAATGATATAACTAGCTCCATAACTGATTGAGGGAATTGTAGGAAGACTCACCTTCTCTGATGCCAGAGTGCAGTTATCTCCAGAAATTTAGCCATCAGATCCCTTTTCTGATATGTTTTCATTGTTGAATTTCAAATGCAATGTGTCCAAACCCTTCCACAGCCTTATGTGCTAACATCTTATTTTAGGAGCTTATTTTACAATTCTCCAACAGCTTCTTCCATTCCAGATCGTTGCCTAACTTGGGCATAGTACCCCAGAAGAATGGCTCCTTACTATATTATAAAGTCCAAGCCATCACTTCTGGTGTGTTATTGTCTATAGATGCTAAACTGCTCAAACTTGGATATAGAGCTGAATTCTGAAATTGCTTGTCAAACCGTGTACTGCAGATGCCAGATGGTGCCTTCCTTTATTGAACTTCTGGGTGAAGCTGAAACGACTTCATGCGAATGACAGAGTGGTGATATTCAAATGTGTCATTGCTGTTTTTTCTTTTTTTAATTTCTTTTTGCAGTGCTGATTGAATGATTGTTCAAGGGACATCAATTGTATTCCAGATAACTGCTGAAGATGTTCATGTCTTGTATATATGTTGCTATGAATTGCAAGAAACTTATCTGGTGTTTCGAATTTGGACATCAATTAATATAAAATGATTTTAGCTAAGCATTTTTGAGTGATTAGAGTATTTATACATCTCATTTTCTAGTGAGTTATAAAGCAGTAAATTGCAACACAAACACATATAAAAAAAGCCAAAAGAGAGCAGAAATAATCAAGGACCAATAGCAGTTCAACCCCACGTGTTTGGTTTGAAGGCTGAAGCAATGGATCAGGATAAAGGTATTTACCGGTAGTTGTGTAAAAAGCTTTAATCGCCGTTGCCGGGGATCGAACCCGGGTCACCCGCGTGACAGGCGGGAATACTCACCACTATACTACAACGACTGAGCTGAAAATTGATTTACAAATATTTTATATAATCACAGCATAAGTTTACAAACCAGTCATGAAAGGCTTCAGGTCAAGTCTTTGCAAACAAATAGGTTAAAGTAGTGTGCTTGTCGCCACTATGTAACAAAGTGCTCGATATAGCTTCCACAATCTTATGTCGATTGTACTATGAGATTCTCTATTCGATTTACTGGGAAATATCATTATAAATCACTTTAATAAAAGGAACAAGTTAAACTAGTATCTTACAACTTCATGGTTCATATTGTATCATCCAATAATAGACTTAAATATGCAAGAGGATACAGTTATGACTAGATTTATAATTGCTAGTATGCACTGAAATAACTGGAGCACAATCTGAAAGCTCGACTGTCTAATGATTAGGTGTGTGCTGATTGGAGCGCCCCTTATATTGGAGAATAATGCAAGGTTTTAGGACTTCCCTAGCTTAAAGATTTTCTAGGGAATCTTACAATTAACTGGCCATCGGATCCCTTTCTGATATGTTTTCATTGTTGAATTCCAAATGAAATGTGTCCAAACTCTAGCCTAGTAACCCAGAAGAATGGCTCCTTACTATATTATAAACTCCAAGCTTGTTATTGTCTGTAGATGCTAAACTCCTCAAACTTGGATATAGATCTGAATTCTGAATTTGCTTGTCAAACCGTGTAATGCAGCTGGTGTCCCTCCTTTTATTAAGCTGCTTGGCGAAGCTGGAACGACATCGTGTAATGACAGAGTGGGAATATTGAAACTTGGCATTGCTTTTGATTTTTTTTTCCTGCAGTGATGATTCTTCAAGAACATCAATTGTATTCTGGATAACCGCTGAAAATGTTAATGTCTTGTGTATATGTTAGCTATGAACTGCCAAAAACTTTCTGGTGTTTCGTATTTGGAAACAGGCAGATCATTGAATTGTAGGGGCGGAAGCGAAGGCACTAAGCCTTGAAGGAAGTATCTAAACTTGAGAAAAGTATTGAAATCTAAAACTTTTTGTTCTCATTGAATCCTCCATAAAAGAATTGAACATATTGTGTTGAACACATAGTTTAGGACTTTTGGTATTTGCAATATTCTTCCTTTGATATGCAGAGAAATAGTCTTTCACACGCAGCTGCCATTTTCGTGGCAGTGAACAATTGCAACCCTCTTTGCCTAGCAGCCAGGCCTTTCTTCTCCAATACCACTCTTCCATCATTCCAAACACTATAGAGGGTCCTTTTCAAGGAATCCACACTAGGTGAGAAAGTATAACCCATTTCTGGTCCGATGATTACCGACCCCGTGATGCTGGCAACTCTTGTAGCCATTACTGGTTTCCCTGTGAGCATTGCTTCCAACAGAGTATGGTTCAATCCTTGAGCTCGAAGAGTCGGATTCACGAAGATATCTATTGCATTATAAAACTTTGCTAGTTGAGCTTGTTCCAATGGACCTAAAACAAGTATATTGGCTCCAAGATCTTTGTATCTTGCACCCCATGGACCATCACCAGCAACAAGAACAGTGACAGTTTGTTGAAATTTTTTGTTTTCCATTAATATTTGATTCAAAGCTTCAAATATCAAAGGGTTTCCTTTGTCTTTCACCAGCCTCCCTGCCATTCCCAAAACCAATGACCTTTTTGAGATGCCAAACTTCTGTTTAAAATCGTTCCCTAGAGAGGGTTCCGGTCTGAAAATTTCCTCGTGACTCCGTTTAGAATGATGTGGACGCGTTCTTCGGGGATCATGTAGATCCTTTTCAGGACATCTCCAGCATGATCACTAGAAGCAACATGGTGAGAATATCTTGGAAAAAACTTTACCTCTTCGACAACTTTTGTCGTCCTTTCGGTCATCATAGATGGCCGTTGTGATTCTGGTGTCCAGAGAAGCTCTTGGATGATATCAGAATGAATGGTTTCATACGCAATTCCGTGCCAAGTAACTGCTAGATTCGGCACGTTCTTCGCTCTAGTATGCAACAATCCGACACTCTCGGTGTGGACCACATCAAAATGTCTTCCGGCCGAGTTTTGAGTTTGAAATTGCTTCCATACAACCGCCTGTTCCAGATAACCACCGGATGTCGGCTTCTAAAGGTGAAAAACTAAGTTGGCAAATGGATATCTCGGAAAGGAGGAATTCGGAGGAGTGGTGAAGATGTGCAACTCGTGGCCTCTTTTCGCAAGGGCAAGGTGTAGAGTCAAGGCATGCCTTTCGAGCCCCCCCCCCGCACGAGAGCCATGAGGCCATTTCTTAACAAAAAGAGCAATTTTAAGGATCTGAGGAGGGTCAGTAGGAAAAGAAAGAAGATTCCAAGCATAAGGGAATGTAAGTAAATCGATGTCTTCCTTCGGCTTTTGCATGGTTAAAAGGTTCATGGAATAGCAATTGCTGGAAAAATGACACCGAAAGAAGATTGAAATGATAGAAAATGCAGAAAGGATTGAAATTATGCAGTATAACTTATGGAACCTGAACATAGTACTAATCATCTGATCTTCTCCAATGAAAATGAGATCAAATGAAAAGTTTCAACAGAAAATATTGCCTACAAACACATTGTTTGAATCAAGATGAAAAGTTTCAAAAAGTTTTTGGACCAAGTTTCAGATTCAAGAAATTAGCACATGGGTTTGAACTGGCAAAAGGAAAGCAAAATCCATGAAACCAGCCATTTTCAAAGGAGTAAAAATGAAAAATCAACCTTAGCAAGTTGTCATTGAAAATCCCATAGACTTAATGGACTAATTAATCTATTTTTCCATATTTCCAAGATATATATATATATATATATATATATATATATATATTATTTCAATAAACAAAAAAGGGAATCTGCAAACACTAGATTTAATAAAAGAACCAGTGAGCTATTCCCAACATGATCAATTAAAATATTTGACACCAACTTATGAACCTAAACGAGCTGCACCATGTAATAGACTCTATTGGTGGAGATAAACAATTAAGGTTCTAGAAATTTTGAAGTCATGTTAGAATCTTATCATAATGCTCACATTTAGAAATGGCATTTTATTGAAACCCTCCTTACTTTAAAAAATATATATTTTTAATGAAGCCCTCCTTACTTGCTATACATACTGTGTTTGATTAAGTTGGTGTCACCGGCTAATCAAATTCCAACTCGTCTGAGAAATGATTGTAATATCCTCATAATCAATGATAATGAATATTATTATTAAAGTGTTTTTATCTTTTACACTTTTATATAAAATGTATAAATAAAACAACAAAAAATTATTACTCACGGTTTAAACACGCAATTAATAAACTATACACTAATCATTTACCACTTCATTTATAATAATTATTAGGGTAAATTACACGTTTACTTACTTAACTTTATTATATCTCCTATTTCACTTACCGTACTTTCAATTTTTTCAATTTGCTCAATAAACTTTAGAAATTGAACTTTTTTTGTCACTCGACCGTTTACTCAGTAACCGGGTTCATGTGGCTTATTTTAATAATAAAACATACCACATAGGACTTATAATTAAAAAGATAAATTATATGTCTACTCACTGAACTTTACTCTCTATCCTATTTTACTCACTATAGTTTTAATTTTTTTCAATTAATATAGCAACATCATAATGCCGTTAGAAATTTAACGGTCGAGTGACAATAAAAGTTCAATGTCTAAAGTTCAATGAGCGAATTGAAAAAATTGAAAGTACGATGAGTGAAATAGGAGAGAGAGTAAAGTTCAGTGAGTAAGCGTGTAATTTACCTTAATTATTAAATAAATTTTGATAAATATATTTTCACATATCTAAATTGTTGACATATAAAAAATATTTATTGAGTTCAACAACCAGTTGGTTTAATGAGATGCGACAATATATTCATCAAACAAAGCCAAAGATTCTAATATTGACATTATAAATGAAGCAAACTATTAAAAGGATCACCTTCATGATGATAATCTACAATATTAAACCTAAATTAGTCAACCAATAAATCAACGTCGATAATTTTAAAAATAAATTTTCATTGAGAATTAAAGGGTGTTTCAACAGGATATCGATAATCATAGATAAAAGTAGAATATTTCACTATAAATTAATTTTTCATGAATGTATGGTACAATATCTAGATTTGGATGTGTATTTATTATAATACCGTAAGCGTTCTGAAAAAAATCTGTACAATGTTTGTTGTATGATTGGCATTATGACCATCTAACTTTTTACCTGACTTGCCTAAATTTCTTGTATTAAATATTCAATACAAAGGTACTTTTGTATATCATCATTTCATCCTCAGTCAATACATAAAATACTTAGAATTCAATCTTATTTCTTTTTCTCATCAGCTTCAACACTACCTGCTAAGAAATGAAGATGGGTTCTTTTGGCATTGTTTCCCTTCTTATCATCTTAATTCTGGCCTCATGTTAGTACATACATACATATACACATCATATTCTCTACTTTAGTATTTTAACAAATTATTTACACGAATATTTAAATGATGATAAATTTTTATTTAAATTTAATTTACAGGAGTGTCAAACTCACTAGCATGTTCTAGTGACAATGATTGTGATATTATGGAGTTTTGCGCATGTGACCGTGCCGGCAACTGTTATTGTCAGCACCCAGAGGTTGTTGCTAAGGTGGTATCGGTTGTCGAGGAT